AAAGGACTTGTGTATCCCATTAAGTCCTTATAATGACATAAGGTTTCTTATTTCTTAAGCCCCGTTTAAGTCATAAGACAATTTTTATTATGTATATTCATTAAAAATAAACTATACAACAGTAGTATTGTTTTAAGAAATTGTTAATACCTATTTCTTAAAATTATTATTCTATTGTTGAGACGAAACATGACCGAAACAACTATACCGGATATTAAAATACTTAGTAAAAGGTAACTTTAGTTGATAATCTTTTTTTCTAATAGTATACATTTTATAATAAAATTTAATAAAATAATTCTACCTATCCATCACAAAGATAAACGAGACAAGCCAATACAGTATCCAATTGCAGACCAACATTTTTTTTAAATATATTTATTAGGTAGTTATTATCAATTGGCTTAACCTTTAAAATAGTATCAATATTAAAAAAAGCTAAGTACAATTACATAATGTTCTTTTATAAAAATTATATAATATTTATCTATGGTTTGCAATTCTGAAAGAACAAAAATTAATAATAAAGTAAAGGTGGGTCTGTTGCGATTGAACGAAACAAAATAAACGAGTCAGTCGAATGACCGAATTGCGACCTAATTTGACTAGGTCAAATCGATCGTTAGATCTTTTGAAGGTTTTGAATGAAATTCTTCTATCAGTCCTGATAAAACTGATAATTTATTGTGACCACAGATATGTATTAATATATATCTCTGATTGTGACTGACTGAAACTAAGACACTATAAAGGTCTTTAGTGCTCTACTGAAACCAAATTAAAATTTTGAGTTTTCATACGTATGGTCACAGTGTCTATAAATGATTACACCAGACACCAATCAACTAAAAAAAAAAAAAAATACACTACACAGCCAACTATAATGTATCCTTATGGATAGGGTCGCCATAAATTGATAAGGCGAAACCGGGACAAAAAAAACATATTATTGGATCATATACTTTTTATATAACTTTTAATATATTGAGAGGACCATTAATGTTCGGCAATATAATATTTAAAAATATTTATGTAAAATAAATTGTATTATATATTTATATATGTAAATTACATATTGCTAATCGATTACGATAAAAAATTAAACAATTATACATTTCCTCTAAACATTTACGCCGGGATATGTAGACATCCCGAAAACATTTTTCGGGACACCGGGACACGACGTCTAAAACCGACGACAATCCCGGTTTTCCAAAACGTATGGTAACCCTACTTATGGATGTATGATTGTTTATACTTACTAAATTGAATAATATTCAATAATATATTCTTAATAATATTCAGTCCAGTGTTATAATCATTGATCTATTATATAATCAATGATTATAATCAATCTATGGGCGTCATTCATAACCGCACACTTTTAATCTTAATCCCACATATTTTCGTCAAATTAAACCGTTTAAAACCACACAAATATATATATATATATATATATTATGTGTTTAATTTTAAAGGTAACAGGAAATATTTCGAACGCATGACCTTGAATTCGATTCGGGTTTTTTTTATAGGATACAGGACATATAAATACATGTTTTTGATAAATTCTAATTTTTAACTTTTTTTATCTACGCATGCGTAGTAAAATAAAACATTTCTTAAATAGGAATCACCATTTTTAACACTGGATTTGGATTGCTCTATTTTTTTTGAGCAACTTTGATCTTTACAGTTTTTTAATATGTTCAAAATTGACATTTTTAAGACAGTCGAAGGTTTTAAATTAGGTAATTCGTATTTATCGCATATTTCAACGCATTTTCTAACAAGATGGGGCTCCCACCCATAATGCAATTATTGTTCGAGAATACATTAACCAAACTTTTGGCAATAAATGGATGGGTACATATGGTCCAGTACATATAATGAACCATTGTAATGGCTCGCTAGATCACCTGATATAACACCGTTGGATTATTTTTTATGGGGACATTTAAAAACAGTAGTTTATGAAAATCCACCTATTTATCTGGATGATTTGAAAAATAAAATAATCATTGCGTGTAATGAACTCACCGAAGACCAAATAATAGCAGCTACACAAAGAAAACTACTTAGACGAATGGAAGCATGCGTTGAAAATAATGACAATATTTTGAACAGTTTATGGAATAATAAATTATTATTATTATTATCTTATGATATTTGTTTATAAATTCAATGTTATAATAAATACACCTTGTAGTTCTAATAAAAATAAATTGTTATAATAATATAAGTAAATGCTTGATAAAGATACGTAGAGCGTTGAAATATGCGATAAATACGAATTACCTAATTTAAAACTTTCAATCGTTTTAAAAATGTCAATTTTGAACATATCAAAAAACTGTAAAGATCAAAGTTGCTCAAAAAAAAATAGAGCAAACCAAATCCAGTGTCAAAAATGGTGGTTCCTACTTAAAACATTTTTATTTTACTGCACATGCGCAGATAAAAAATAAGTTAAAAATTAGAATTTATCAAAAACATATGCATTTATATGTCCTGTACCCTGTAAAAAAACCCGAATTAAATGCAAGGTTATGCGTTCGAAATATTTCCTGTTACCTTTAAAATTGAACACATGGTATATATCAATTAGGTACGTATACATTTATCTAAAATAACATGAGTGCACCTCGAGACCGAGCGTGGTCACTCGCTCGCTCGAACAGTTAAAAACAAAAATATCCCCGATTTGCTATGTAACATCACCCCAAGTTGGTTCCAGGATAAAAAAAAGATTTTGTGTGGGACTCATAAGAAACCGGTAACGTGAACTGTACATGCAAAGTGTGCAGAGAGAAAGGAACTGTTGACCAAATGTGTGCGGTTTTGAAGTATCAACCTTTCAAATTTCCATTTATAACAATAGAATAAATATGTGCGGTATTGAACGATGTAAAATGTGCGGTTTTGATGACCGCCGCAATCTCTGTTACTGATTCAAAAGAAAATTGATTCACCCAATGATAAGAATAATATTAGACGATTCAATGGCGCCAAACTACTTTTTAATAGGTGGTGCAAACATGTGTTTAACCACCTAACCATCCCTACCTAGATATTATTTGACCATCAACGATCAAAATATTATGTTTATATTAAGTAGGGAATCTAATACCTAATAACAACTGGTCACTAAATACCAGTTTTTTTAAAATTATATAGACCCAGAAGCCACCTCTCAATTTTAGGTGGTGCTAATGCATCACATTAAGTACGTATTCGACGCCACTGAGACGACTGACCGATATGACTGAGATGGCCGAATTACTAAACTGACCCGATTCAAATGATTCGAATCATTTGAATGACCGAAAATTCCCATCTTTTATAAAGTAGTACATACCATTTATAGATAAATATTAATACTGTAGGTGGCGCCCTTAATACTTAAGTAATTTTTGTTATTTTGATTTCTTGCATTCTCAAATAAAATGACAAAATCACACTGTTAGACAACGCTAATTATAAGCCTTAGATAAAAAATACATTAATCTATTGAGAACTTTAATAACAGCATTTCTGATCTTATCAGTGGTGGAGCAGGGGTGTGCGAGCTGTGCGGCCGCACGAGACCCCGCGCTTCCTGGGACCCAGCAGTTAACAAAAAGTCGAGCAAAAATCTGTAATTAATTCACGATTTACTATGAAAAATCGGGGCCCCGGACTAAAATTTACAAGTATGAACCCGAATACCATTTATTATAGTCAAATACTTCAAATTAAATTTTACCATGAAGTAGTCGTAATCTTTGACATGCTAGATAATGATCAAACATTACGCCGATAGCGCGTAGTGAATTTTTTACAGAAAAAAAAAACTAACATAATTGTAAGACTATGAGATTCTTTGCTTCACTCAGAATTTAAAATATTTTTATAATGAATTTGTACTTCTTGAGAACACTTAGTCATAATTTTCTAAATCATTCTTAAACCAAACATTTTTTATTGATAAGAAATTAAAAAAATGGTAGTTTTTATTTATATTATAAGGTGATAACGCTTTTGTAACATCTTTTAAGCATTTGAAGACTTCAGTCAGAAAAAAAGTAAAAGGGTTTATTTTTGAAAGTATATCTAAACATAACTGTAATGTAAATACAGATTCATACTGTACCTTGTGCTAATATTATAATATAATAAAATATTATTTTATTAATCTATTTAAACTTTTTGTTTTATTTATAGATTGTTCAAATATCCCAACAGGTATTTTATTTATTTTAATTAATTATATACACAAAAAAATAAAAAAAACTGTAATGTATTATAGGTTGTATATGCAATTTACAGTTGTTAAACAACGGTAATGATAAAAATCTGCTCTAAAAAGCATTAAAAATGCATAATTTTGCACCTAATTAAAAAAAATGAATGCCCCCAATACGGTAGTAGGGGCCTCGCGGTGGCTAGAGCCAAAAAAGCAGAATTGAAATACTCGAAGCCTGCACTAAGTTATTGAGTGTTTCCACTTATCGTGATCACATAGTATATAAACTTACTGATCTAAATATTATTATTCACCAAACTCATGAGTAAAATTGTGACATTAAACAAAAAATTATTTCAAATGATTAAATATCATAAATATTTATAATAAACACATTTTAATATTTCTTAAATTTATTTAATGTATTTTGTGGAAGATAACAATATTTTCACAACTAAAATATTTTATTGCGATTATATTTAATGATTATTTAACATAATTGTTTAGAATTTAAAAAAACATAATTATGAATATAAAACATACAATTACATAATAAATTAATACCAAAGATGTTTTTATTGCACTTAAATAATTTTGGTTATTATATAAATTTTATAAAAGTGCACTGTATTATTTAAGTTGTGTACATAAATATTTGACACATTAAGAGCTAATGGTTAGGTTATATCATATTAGTATAAACAAACATCTTATAATATCTAATATCATTTACAAGTAAATTTTGAAGTTACTTATTTAAAATATTATCCAAAATAGTTCAAAAATATTAAAAAGGAGTGGTAACAAGTAGCATACTTTTCTAACTATCATATCTGATTAAAAGCTTTAAGTAAATAGTTAACACAATGATAATGTAGACTAGACATTATAAATACTGTTTAAGTCAATAAATAAAAATACTGAATTATAATAACTTGAAACTATTTCATTATTTAAAAATAAAAATTCTAATGCTTTTTTAAGTGATCTCCAGTAAGGTCATGAATAGATTTGGATTTAATAGGTTCTTTTTCTTCTGGCCAACTGTATTTTGGTGGAAGTGGATTGTCATAGTTGAAGTCATACATCTGCGATTCAATAAACTTCTTTTTGTCTTTAGGTTCTGGATAGTGAGATGCAATTCCTAAAATAATTATATTAATAAAAAATTATAATTTAATAATTATAATAATCCAAGTGTCAGTAAATTGTATCAAAGTTTACCTTTTTCATAAGCATATTCTGCTATTTTGATTGCAATTTGTAAGGAACAATCTTTAATCAGATTAAGTGGAGGATAAATACTACCCCTTTCCAAATCTTCTTCAGTAACAAAGTTAGCCAGTTCCTAATTTTAAATAAAATTAATATTTTCATTCTTTGATTTAATGTTAATTTAATTAATATACCTGAGAAGCAATTAAAAACAAATCTTCAGTAATATGATGTATTCCAGTACTGATAACTCCTAGAGCAACTCCAGGGAATATATAAGCATTATTTCCTTGTCCAGGAGTAATAGTACGTCCATTAATAGTGACATCTGGAAATGGTGAACCACTAGCAAAAATACAGCGACCCTAAAATATAATTGTAAATGTATAACTTGAATATATTAAACTTGTTATCAGTAATTTACTTGAGTGTAAGTGTATGCTTGTTCAGCTGTACATTCAGCCTTAATTGTTGGATTACTAAGAGCAAAAATAATTGGTTTTTCACAATAAGAAGCTACATGTTCCAGTACATCTTTGTTGAAAGCTCCCGCTGCTGCAGCAGCACCAATTAATATAGTAGGTTGTATTTCCTTAACAACTTCAAGAAGGCTTTTCATTACTTTATGATCTTTAGCATAAAATGCTTTGTCGCCTTGTAAATTTCCTTCAGGTCGATCTTTAACTAATAGACCATCAATATCCATCATCCATATTTTACTACGAGCTTCTTCTAAAGAACAGCCTTCAGTTAGCATAGCTCGTACTGTTAAATTTGCAATACCAATAGCAGCCTTAATAACATAAAAGTAATTAATATAAATTTACATTAGTATAAAAATAATGATTACTTCTCCTGCTCCTAAGAATAAAAATGTAGAATCCGAAATACGTTTTTTAGTCAAACGACGTGCTGTCAGAAGACCTCCAACAGCTACAGATGCTGTTCCTTGAATATCATCATTGAATGTACAATATTTGTCACGGAACATAGCTAAGAACCTAAAGGCATTGTGGTTTCCAAAATCTTCAAACTGAATCAATACATTTTGTCCATATCGTTTAACTAAAGCTTCCATGAATTCATTAATGAATTCATCATACAAAGGTCCAGAAATACGCTTTTGTCTGAGACCAATATATAAGGGATCTTCCAAAAGTTGCTATAAAAATTAATCAAATATGTAATTATGAAGTTATTAACGATTTGAATATAGTATCATAGAGCGACCATATATTCTATTTTATATGAATAACCAGCTATTTAAACTTTGAGTTCTATACTTAATATTGTTTTAAGAAAAATGAACTAGTCTATTATTCTGCAGCTTATTATTATTATTATTTTTTAATTGTATGGTTAAAGAGAAACTGTGTACATCATAATTATTACATAAAACAACTTTATTTGAATAACTGTAAATGTGTAAGAATAAGAATTACATGAATAATTAAATTGTAAAAAAATCAACTTAAGTAAAAATAATCGATTATAAAAATTTGTTAATGAGTCAAAATAGTTAAGTATAATAAAAATCATTGCTAAAATACAGAAAATAAAACAATTTTTTTTTCTTTAGCAACTTTAAGCATAGATAGATAGATTTTGTTAACACAAACAAATTAATTATTATTGTAAGAATAAATTCATTTTTTTTTTTTTTTTTGTAGGCAATAAATATTTGTTTTCAAATGTTTCGTTAAATCTTACAAAAATATTTTTTAAATATGGTCACCCTATTTTATGACACAAATATAATGCTAACTTCATTATTGGTTCCCACGTCCAGTGTTATAGGTAAACATTGATGAGGTTTGATACCGGCTAAAGCAGTATATAATGATAATTTACCAACTGGTATGCCCATACCACATGCTCCAAGATCCCCAAGGCCAAGAATACGCTCTCCGTCAGTTACTACTATTGCACGAACATTTGGTTCTGGCCTAACCCAAAAAAAAAAAAAAAAGAAAAAAGTTTGTCTAAGTGTTAATGTTAAAATTCCAATTAATAGAAATTAAATAGCCTCAAAAAATGATAAAATTAGTATAAATTTGCTAAAGATTAAAATTATAAATTCTAGTATCGTAGTCAA